ATTTAGCAACTGCCTCATTTTGCAACCATTTGCAGTTACAACGCTGGAATTCACTGAGCGACCCATTCTTTCACAAATGTTTATAAAAACAGTCTGCATGCCTAGGTACTTGATTTTATACACCTGTGGCCATGGAAGTGATTGGCACACCTGATTCTGATTATTTGGATGGTTGAGCGAATACTTTTGGCAATATAGTGTATTTTGTTTTAAAATCTCCATATATTTTGGATATCTATCTCAAAAATCTTTTGAAAGTTTGCACCACCATATCATGTTCTTATGATTTTATGAGAGATAAAACTATTTGTATTTTGCCCCCATATTATGGACAGTTCTCTTGTCCACCACCCGTGCTTTGCAAATCACCCAAAGGGATTTTTAGTATAGTTAATGTAATACAATTTGTGCAGAACTAATTCCAGATATTCATTTCTGTGAAGAGTTCCTTCCATTCTTTAGTAGAACTAGACTCCAACGGAGGCATTTTTCTGACATTTTTTAAGCACCACTAAAATCTTTTTGTATGCTATTCAAGCAGTTTATAGATTGTTTCTAATGGCAGTGGAATATGATTGAATGCAAGTTTTGATCCACTCTATTGATTTCAATTGAGATTTTGTCTGAGGAAATGTGTTGATAGAATTATAGTTTTCATCTTTATTTTACACAGCCACTCCATTTGAATCTTAATAAGTGTATAGAGCTGTTGCTAAAGTCATATTGATTCGTTATTGCTTTTAAAACTCTGTGTGTCCTATTCCTCTATTTTTTTTTTCAAATGCAAAAAGGGAAACTGAAGTATTCTTAATGGATTTCTTTCAGCCGGTTGCCAAGGAGACAAGGTTCAATTTTATACTGCACAACAGGAATTGTCCTGCAATGGCTCCAGTCAGACAAGTATGTATTTTTTTAATCAAAAGAACCAGTAAATGAACTTTTCAAGGATTTATTTAATGGCACATTTGTTGCTGATAACTATTGTACTTGCCATGGCTAGTCATTTCCATTTACTTACTTTTTAATTGCTTTTCCTGGTTTTGAAAATCTCTCTGTCTATTTCCTTTGTATTTTTTGTTGCAGACAATTGTCCAGTGTAAGTCATGTAATCCTTGATGAAGTCCATGAGAGAAATCTTCAATCAGATGTTTTAATGGCAATAATTAAAGACCTCCTGAATGTACGACTAGATTTGAAAATAATTCTGATGAGTGCTACACTGAATGCTGAGAAGTTTTCAGATTATTTTGGTATACGGCATACTCAACATTTTAATATGTAAAATGTAATTAGTTTTAACTTGTAGTTAATATCTAAAAATAAAACAAGCCTACACTAGCATGAAACTAGCATTGAATACTTCTGAATCAGAATAGCTAAATCAAAATAGGTAATAAATGTTGTGTGGTATGGCACACGTTTTTAATCAAACCAAGGTGCATATAAATTTGTCAAATATTGCAAAATCTAAACAGGTCAGGACAAAAATTAGACATATTTGAATTTAATTTTAATGTTTTATAGCATTTTTTCTTTGGGTAAAAAAGGGGGTTCTTCTAGCTTGGGGTGATTTCATAGTTTCACAGTGCAAAATAGGTGTTCCAAGCGTAACATCATATTTACATGTATGTTTACATATTTTGGAAGGCAGAAATTAAATGAATTTGTTAGAAAGTGGGATTTGGGATGTGCAGGTCCCCTTTTTAATCCATTTCTTTGACACTTTGAAGACCACGGCACAATATCTATTTCCGGTATTTCATGTTTAGAAACATGCTGAAGTTTTTGCTGGGTTTCTGCCAAGGTTTGCTGCTTGTTGTAGCAACCTTTCTTGAACGTATGCAAGTATATCCCATAGATGGGCTGCTAACTCATCCAAACAGCATCTTTGTATGAATACTGACATTCTGCACATTCCCAAGATGTTACAGGCTTACTCTTTTACCTTCTAATGCATAGATAGGTTTGCAGTTGGTTTTTTTGTTCGTATAGTTTTATGTCCCTTATAGTACTCTTATGCATATGTAAAAGAATGCTTACTTTCTTTTAAGAAACTAGATCAGTGCAAAGTTTTTTGAGAGGTTCTTTTATTTTTTATTTCTTTTGAACAGTATTTTATGCCTCTGTTTCAATCACATAGCAGCCTTGTTAAAAATGCTACTGTTGTAATATTTTTTCTCTTCTTTTCGTAAGACGGTTGTCCTATGATCCATATTCCTGGCTTGGCTTATCCTGTCAAGGAATACCTTTTGGAAGATGTAATTGAGAAATTACGGTTAGTCAAAAACTCCTTTTTTCCCCTTTTCAGAATTAATTCTAATCTAAATTGAGCAGCGAATAGATTTCAATTTATAGATAAGGTTTCCCTCTAATCTTTTCTTCATATTGCCACACTTGATCCTGTACTGAAACCTTTCAGAATAAATTTGAAGTTTAGTGGTTAATCTTCACTAGTTCAACAAACGTTCAAAGTTGTGATAATGCTGAATGACTGACCTTGAAGTTCCAGCCATTGCATCGCCCTCACAATCATGTGATCACAATCTGGGTGCTCAGCAACTGAGTCATGGAAAGTTTGCAGCATCCCATGAGCACACAATTGCAATTTGTATCCTTTTTGCCAGTTTCCTATAAGCGAGATCAAGGGGAATTGGGCATGGAAGGTTGCAAGTTGCTCCCACTTTTTTCTCTTGCAGAGAGAAAATTCCAGGGCTCTCATACTTGCAATACCCGATAGCATCCCCAATCTGGATACAATTGCATGGTGCCCCAGCACTCCCCTACCTCACCTTCTAGTATTCACCTGCCCAGGATTTTCACCTTCTAGCCAGCTTCTGCATTGCCTTTGCTTGTGGGAAGCTGGCAGGAAGTTGCAAGTCACAGTCACGTGAGGCCCTTGCCCAAGAACCCATAATTTTTACATAACTATGGCAACAGTGATTGTTGGGATTGCTTAGTGACTGATACGGTCAATCGCTAAGTGATATGGTCACATGATATAGTGCTTTACAACCACATTGCTTACCGATGGAAATTCCATTCCCAATTACATTAAGCATGGATTACTTGTGTAGTAAAAAAAAAAGAAAATTCATTTTGCAAGCAAATATAA